CCCCAGAATGAGAAACAACTTTAAATCATAATTATTGACGGATAAATAAACTTTTTACACGCTTTGGAAAATCTCAGAAGTTCGCGGTAGTCACTTTTCGGTAAGGAACTAAGGGACTCGGTTATTGTATCGAGCAGGGTTCGAAACGATCGCAAAGGCGGTATACTACGTATACGCGCCAAAAAAAAACTGTTGAGAAAATCAATACGTACCGCACGTTCCTGCATGCACTTGGCGAAAGTTATTCCATAATTTGTATTTATTTTTTTTTTAATTGAATCAAATACTCATAGTTCACTTGGGTTAAATTGAAACCTGCCCTGTCTCAATTCATTCTTTTAAGTTTAGACACCGGTACTTGCTTCCGATGAACCACTCAATGAAAAGAGATGACGGAAAGCACTCACCGCAAAAAAGTTTCTGGTAAAACATCGAAAACTTCTCGGAAATTGTAATTAATCCGGAATCTTATACTTGGCCTCAGAAGTTTTCTCGAGTGTGCCGCAGCGCGGCTAGAATGATTTTGTAAATCGACGGTGAAACTACAAGACCACGTATATCGTGTGCGCAGTTTAAAAATCTCCCCTCTCATTTGATTTTTTTGAAGGAGAACCAACACACGTGATTCCTTGCAGTTTTCACAAAATTTTCCTCGCGCAAAGAAAAAGAATCACAGAAGTTTTTAAGCATTGACGTTAGGTGGTTTCCCATTCAGGGAGCACAGTATGACAGGCAAGTCTGAAACGTCGCAAAGCGAGGTATGAGGTTTTGGAGTTTCACCATGAAGTTGCTTTGAAGTGGAGATTGTTGCGAAATTTTGACGAGTTTATTAACGAAATTGTTTCAGAGTGGCGAGCAGTTTTTGCTCTACGTGACTGCATCCGACGGATCCTTGTCAGCCAAGACGGAGGTCCTGGTGGATATATTCAACTCTTCGGCCGAGCAAAGCGGGCGGAAAACTGGGAAAAACCGCCCGCCCTTCCCGACGGGGGACAAGCGAAGCCCTTTCGGGAACCTGCCCCCCGGGTTCCTGAACCAGCGTCCTCCGTTCATCCCGTCGAAACCCAAGTACAACAACTCCAACACCAATTTCAACATCGGCCCTGAGGGATTCAACTTCTCGTCTATCCCTGCCGTCTCCCTATCCCCTGATTTCATAGCCGCGGTCGCTAATGACCCAGGAATTATCAACAACCCATCTTACACCTTGCCTCCACCTTCAAAGTTGCCTCCCGCCAAAAGTTCCGACACACCTGTGCCCCCGGCTCGTCCCTCCACAGTTCCTTCCTCCTCCGTTCCTTCCGCTCCTGGACGGTCCTCTTCCTCGTCCACCCCTGACGCTACCCTTCCTGCTTCAACCCCCAAGACGACTGGACCACCCTCCCTGTCCACCTCATCCAATATCCATGCCAGCGAATCCTTGCACAATATCTTCTTGACCGTTTTTACGCTGATATCACTCTTGTTCGTGGTAGCAGTTGGAATTCTAGTCGTATGGTTCAGAAGAAGCATTTGCTACGGTGGTATGAAGAAGAAGAAGGATGATATGGTAAGTGATTCGTCTCTTAAATTGAATTTTGATTACTCGCCAAATGGTAAAGTTCATCGCGGGCTCGAAGCAATGGTGGCAACGATAAATAATACATGATGTTGGTCCCATGCCACGAATCACAGGAAGTTTCACTGACGGAGAGAAGGGTCAATGAAATAATTCCAAGACTGAGTGCTGTGAATCAGAGAGATGCACCAAGGCTTCTGACCTAATTTGGAAGTTTCTTTTCTGGTAATAATGAATCAAGTCCCCAAAGTAAAACACTGTCATAATCCCTTATATTATATTAAAAACCGAAAAGTTCGTTCTCGGAAAGAAAAGCATCCTGGGTTCCATCTCGTCTCTCTAAGATTATTTAGAGATGAAATGCAGAATCAAGAGACTCTTATGGAAACTGATCATTTAGCTGTTTTTATTGTTCTTTTCTTCTTTTTTTGTTTTTTGTAATATCTCTCTGCTCTCTCTACTCAGTGAATAAATCCTGAAATTCAATCACAGAAAGGGGCTAGCAAAAAGTTCATACGGAAATAAGAATTTTACAGACCAATTGAATCTAGTTGAGTTCAATGAACAAATTCAAAGAAATTGAAATGAACATTTTATACAAGATATGGATACAGGAGGTCCATGGCTTCGTAAAATTCTCAAGTTTAGGGCCCTACTGTATCACACTAGGAAATGTTCGAAGGGCTCCGGGGCCAGGTGTCAAATTCGGTTTCGTGGAGGTCAATCGCCTAGGACAGAGTATTTTTCCTAAGCCTCTGCGTCAATTTAGCTACTTAAACTGAATTTAAGGGAAGAAAGTCTTGTCCTAAATTTTGAGGAGTCCATATTGCGAACAACTGTGTGCCGATTTTGGATTTCTTGGTATCGACAAGAGGTAAAATTTTCCGCACTTTCTAAATTCGATCAAATAAATTCAAAAGTTCGATGGGAAACCGAACTTTTAGTCACAACTCCCTTTTACTCATCGAGGGGGGCCGGGAGGGAGGGCTTTAGGGCCATGTTTGGATTCCTTGTGGTCGATTGTCATATTCTACCGTGCTGAGGAAGAACCCCGTATGAGCATTCGAGAGTTGCCAATTTTCCCTCCTTCATTTTTGAGCAAATTTATGAATATTTTTCCTTGTAATTTTCAGGAACTTTAGGTGAAATTGCGAACAACATTATCTGAAAAATTGGAAGAAAAATATTCATAAGTTTATCAGGAAATTGTGTTTTATACATGGAAATTTGGCAACGCATGAAGGTTCATACGGCGTTTTTCCATAGCATAACAGTATAGACTCTATTAGCGGCACGTCACAGAAAAGCGATATATATCGATTTTTAAGAATCGGCAGCATTGAAAGAGGTCATGCCAATGTTATTGTTTGGATCCAATTTGATATAATGGAGAATCCCTGTGATGATGTCGCCACTAATAGCGTCTATTCGTCCTCGTCTTGATCCGACCAACAATAACCTAGAAAAAGCCTGATACGGGTTTTGATACCCTGTATATGAAATCCTTGAGAGTGATGACTTTTGCATCAATGAACTAGGAATTTCTTTTTTTCCAGAACAAAGAGAGCGATATCATTCGACAAAATTCGATCGTGCTCCAGCACTGGCGTGCTCCCCGTGCTTTCGGCAATCGATACGAAGCGTGGGACAACGAATCCACTTTGCAGGTAATATTTGAGTTTCCGATAGAGTAGACACTTACTTCATAAATAAAATCCGAAGCGAGAGCAACGAGGGAACATATCGGTGTATTTCGGACGTACAACCTTGGCAGCGATTCAGCCATGATTTCAGCCCAGAGACAATATATTTCAGGAACCCCGCATTTTTATACTCTCTACAGTATAAAAATTTCCGCTGGAAGTCAAGCGCTCAAATTCGCCTGACGATAACTGATGAGCAAAAATTTGAGCGATTGGTTTAGCAATCCTAACCTCATTTGGACGCGTATTTCTTTCAAACTGAACTAAGCGCCATCGGGGTAGGAAGGTAGAGGGGGGCTTGGATTGGCGGCGGAACCGGGCGTCGGTCTCATTCGTTCTTATACTCGCAATGCTTTTCCATGGCGCTTAGTTCCGTTTGACAGAACGCGCTATCCGGGATTCTAAATTCTTCAAAAGGAACTCAAATTGGCGCTTAGGTCAGTTTGACAGAAATACGTCCATTTGGAAAAAATCGCCTATCTAAGTGCTCATCTTATAAGCTTTGATCTCCGAATTGGACTGCATTTTGCAATTGGGAACCACAATCTCTGGCTCATTCTTAAAAACACCCATGTGCATGGGGAAACTAATGGCTCAAATTTTGTTTTTAATAAGAGCCAGAAAGTGTAGTTCCTAATTGGAAAAAAAGTACTCCAAATGTAGTCAGGGTAATTTCGATTAAATCTGTTCATTTGTCGACGGCAGATTCAGCGATTTGGCAACACTAGCTTTCCTTCTGAACTTGTATTGAATCATCGATTTTTGTCGGAGCACGTCTTCTCAAAGCTCCATCATTGGAATTACAACTCTCTTTGGTAACACGGCACGTATATAATAATGGGTGTTTGTGAGAAATTCAAATTTATTTACTCTTAGAGCACAATGAGAGTCGTTCAAAGACAGACGTCATTTTGGAAACAAAAGGAATCCATATTCGTATTTTATTCAGAACTAAACGAAAAACAAACGCAAGAAAATTGCTTTTTGTACGTATTTTACCATTGTTTACCCATCTCCTTTAGTTTGTTTTCCGTTAAAGCGCCTGGTCTTTTTCAGTGGGCATTATTTTCCTCTTAAATTGACAACCCTGTAGTGAAGGCAGCTGCCATCCCGCTCATTTTGTTGCTCAGCTTGTAAAATAAATTTGACTACACACTTCTTTCAACTATTTGCGCACGATATTATGTGTAAAGTAGGGCTCATCTCAAAAGACCGTCACGTCGTTTTGCCGGCAGAGGGAAGATTTCAAAACCTCTCGATTGCGGCTATAAAAAGCCTCTCGTGACCTAAAGTTCTAAATGAATAATCGGAACCGCGGATATATTATGAAAAGACTTGGTAGAAACAGTGCACTAAATAATTATTTCATGAAGCCTCCAGCACGGTAAAACTTGTCTTTTTTCCCCGACACCACCCCTATTCCAGTCGTATGCAGGCACCAACATTTTGTTCAAAAGCCGTCCGTGCGCAGGGATTTGTCTCGCGTCATGAATGCAGATCCGTTTTAACCATGCTCCATCGCACCCTCTTTTTTTCTGAGCATGACGTTAATACGGAATCTGCTTTGAGGAAAATAATACGCTGATGAATTTAGGATGTCAAGTAAGTGTGTTGTGAGCGATGGCTCCGAAATGTTGGTTTACCCACGCCTGCTGTTAATCTTGCACTTGGAACTTAGGAACTCGACTAAATGAATCAGATACAATATATGGTAGAGGACCCCCCACTAACAATAATCTAAGAATTCTAATCGAGTAAAGAAAAAGTTCAAGTCGGAGGTCAACGCTATTTTTGGTCTATGCGTGATGGTGATGAGCAATTAGCTGATCAAAAAATTGAGTATTTGCCTGATACTGCCTTATGAATTTGATAGTGAGCCCCTTAACGAGCGAGTTTTTGTACATTAGGTCTGGATCGCTAAACGTATTACTCAGAAAAACTACTACTTACTACTACTTATTCAGAAAAATAACTATGTTTTGGACTAACTTGCACTTATCATTTTATACATTTTGAACGCGTTTCGAAGGCTTTGCCCTCGTCCTCCGCGACTGAGTCCCCTTGAGACGGATTATCGCTGAGGATGAGATCGGAGCCCTCCAAACGCGTTCAAATCTAATAAAATAATGAGTGCAAGTTAAGTCCTAAACATGGTTATTTTTTACATGTGAAACTTGTGCTGTGTGTAAATAAGTGTGCTGTAAATAAGTGTTTCGCCTTTGGATATTTAAGTATTAGAAATCAATGCGACCTAATACCTAGCGTACTAAAGCGCGAGGCAACTATTCGACCACCCGTGTGTGGCACAGTATCATCCGAAATTGAAGGCGAACTTAACGCGCCAACTCATAAGGCCGATCTCCGCAACGGCTGAGGTCGCTGGATTTTAAGGAATTACAATAAAAATGAACGCGACTTGTTCTTAGTGTACAAAACCGCAAAGCAACTATTTGCGACCACCCGTGAACGGGGTGTGGCATATTTGGATTGCATTTTGCAATAAGGAACCACTATTTCTGGCCTATTTTAGAAACAACATAGATGCCATTGGTTTCCCTATGCAAATATGTGCTTTTGTGGGAGAGCCAGAGATAGTGGTTCCCTATTGCAAAATGTAATCCATTTATTCTTGATATGTATTACTTATCAACCCAGAAAAACTCGAAATTGTGAAAATGGAAAGCGGCAGTTTATGAAAGACTTGACTCAAATTATTGTTTCTCATTTAGTCCTACAAAATTTACCTCAAAAATTATCTACTAAAAACTCTACCATCAGGGAAGATATCAATGTAAGCAGCCAATTATTCGCATCCTACTCAGTCTTGCAAATCACCCCATAACAAGTATAGATAATGTATGCATTCATTAATCTGAAACGAAATAAAACTATGTATTGACTTAATGTGTAATCATCACTTTCTCCAGTTATTTCAACTCCTAATGTGAACTCATCATAATATGGTGATTATGATCTCAAAAGAATAAGTGGATCAGTAAATTTTTTCGGTAATTATTGTAATTGTCCCCGGACTTTTAAGGACGTTTCAAACATGACTATATGTATAATGAACTTTCCTCATTTTCAGGCCAACTCGGGACCACCAGCTAAGTCTGGAGATCCATGGGAGTTTCCGCGACACCACATCAAAATTTTCAGTATTCTCGGCGAGGGATGCTTCGGACAAGTTTGGAAATGTGAAGCCATCAATATCGATGGTAAAAATATTATGCTATTTCATCAAATTTCTATGGAAAATATAGCTAAATCTGTAGATATTGTTATCCCGATCAACAAAATTGTACAAAAAATAATTTGGAATAGATTTTGGAAGGAATTAGGAAAAACTAGCAGAAATTGGTGGATTACACATTTTCTACGCTCTTTTGCTGGTTTTCCGTAAAACAACGAGTGCGAGTACGATACATTGCCGGTTTGGCTTATTCTCCGCAAAATTATGAAAATGGTCTATTAAAGGAACCGACCATCTGAAACTGCATCATTTGGTCAGTTTTGGCGCAAATACTGACCTAAAAGTGCTCTTATCTAGAAAATATATTCAGCATCCATCACTAGCATTGGAAGCACACCCAAAGTATGCTTTAAATCGAATCTTTGCGATAAATGGGTTTTTCCGTTTCCTATGATGAATGTGAATATGAAAAATAACCACAATTTTCTAGTACAATTTTCGAATTTGCTGCAGAAAATCACGGCAAAAGTCGTACTTTTTCAGCAGCTGAAGTACCATTTATTGACAATTTTGAATAGAAATCTATTTTTTAAAAAAAGTAGGAAAAAAATTGTGTTGTCAAATTCTGATGATATAATTATTTTGGTCACTTTTTCAGGTCAAAAAGCTCCTCAAGTTGTGGCTGTGAAAACTCTTCGAGAAAACGCAGGGGAGCGTGAGAGATCGGATCTACTTCAAGAATTAGAGGTCATGAAAATGTTGGATCCTCATCCTAATGTTGTTCGTTTGCTCGGCTGTTGTACAGAGAAAGGTAAACTATTTTAACACATTTTTATCTCAATTATCGCAAAAATGAAATAAGCTGACCGCAACATTGACGTCCTTACATAGAACCACTGTATTATTATTTATTTGCATTTAGTTGTAGTTTCTATAGTTAAGAGGCCCCTCCCCCGTGAGGATAGATTTTCGTACAAACGGCGTTCCATAGGTCCCATGTTCCTTTCCCGGATACGCGACCCTAGCTTCATGGTCTCAAACAATGGTTACTTGGAGCTGGCTGTTGATTATAAACTTNGGGGGGGGGGGGGGTTGGCCTCTAATTTTAAGCAAAGGATTATCCTACGGGCGGTTTTTCATGCAGGCGGAGAAAAAATTTCAAAAAAAAACTTTACACCAGGTTTAATGTCAAAAAAAGTAAGGCAGAAAGAGATGCGCAAATCTTGAAAACCTCAGCAATCCATTTCACACGCGCGTCCATATAAACTCGTATCTCCCGTTGTGAGTAGCATTGATTTCTTTTCACGTCCTCCACGGTGGCGGCCGAGTTCACATTTCAAACACAATCCGAGCTGATTCTCGAGTTATTGCCCCCGTTCGAATGGACAGTTTTTCGTAACGTAAACCGAAGCTGGAATCCCGTCTCACCTCGCCTTTTCATCTCTCTTGCGTGAGTTCAAGTTGTGGTGTTTGAACCCGAGACGTAGGTGGAGATGAACTCTGAAGAGCGGTGGTTAATTTCGCGATCTTTTGAACCGCAACCCATGTTGCCGCAATAAGCCTCTACGTGCACGGCTGGAAATGGAGTTCTGACATGTGTCAGGGATTTGCTATGTAAGAACCTTTTTTGTAAAACTTTGCAAGAAACACGGTAATACAACTGGTTTACTCTGAAAAGAACCCCCAAAATAAAAACAACTTTCAAATTTGAAGCTGCACGAGGGGATCCCCACGCTACGTTGAGATTCTACCTATATACCTGGTCAAACCATCCTTACTCAGATTGGGAGCAAACACATTGGTAGGCTTGCCGCGGTTCCAACTTTGAGGCCCTCAAACTAAAAGGTAACCTTGCGAATGTATTTGCTTCCTACCTGTGCATGAAAAGTTTGACTGGATATAGAGGTGGACTCTTAGGGTATCGTGGGAAATTCCCTCTATTACGGCCTCAATTTTTAAAGCTTTTTTTGAGCTTTTGAGTTTGTTTAGAGAAAACCAGTGACATCATCGTGTTTCTCACGAAACTTTACCTAAAAACGAGTACTCAAATCGCAAATCCCTACACATGCAAGAGCTTCATCAAGCAACAGAACACGCGTTTTCTGATGAAAATTTCACTCTGAACGCAACGAGAACATGAAATATTTCGCTCACTTGACAAGGGAATCACAGCGGAGGGCAGGTGGGGAGGTTTAATGAAGCGAACTTGTTCTACGTCAACGGATTGTGAACTGGAAAAGGGGTGGGTGTCGTGTCGTAAGTTGAGTATCCAGGCATTCAAGCACATTCAATTATGAGAACTCGCAAAATAATACCTAATTGGTGTCGTAAGTTCTGTTTCCCGGAATGTTTAATGCTATAACCTGTAAATTGAATCCAAAGGCATTTCAGCGCTTAATTTAGCAGAGTATAGCTACTTTACCTTTGGTCAAAGGGCGAGAGAGCGAGATGAAGAGGGTTTGTAAAACCGCACCATTATTAAATTCCCTCTAATGAAATTGTCATTTATGTTTAGCATGGATGGGGTGAAGAGGATATGCCAGCTCTTCATTTAGCCACTTAGAAAATATGACGTTACTGAGAGGATATTTGGTTATGCCACGTACTTGGCGTTATATTCAGCGGGCTGTTTATTGGAATTGATAGACAAAGCGATGGTAAAAGAAGACAACGGATATATCGAGCAATCTCTTTGGTTGAAACGAGTGGTTGTTATACACGAATAGGGGGGAAATGATGGACCAACTATAGAGGTTGCCTCTTGTGTGTTGTCGTTAGTTAGTCTACTACTTCCTTCCTTTGTCCATTTCAATCACTCGCTCTCACCAAAGGATTGCTCCATTTTCTCTTGTTCTTCTTTGTCCATGGCTTTCTGTATTAATGTCAATAATCAGCCCGTAGGAGTAATCACGTATTACGGGGATATATAAAAATATTTTGACAGAACCCTGGCTTTTGATTGGTCCGAAAGCATTTCGCCTCTGGGCCAAGCAAAAGCTCTGCAAAAAGTTATGCGCATAAAGTAAACGCAGAGGTACCAACGTTTAAAAATCTTGGAATGAAATCCGGTGTTCATTTCATTCCAGAGCATATTACGCCACCCTGAAAGTCTCCGAAAATCCGAACGGTATGAGTAAGGAATGAAATCTGTTGATCGTAAGAGCGGAGCTCAGTCGCCAAAACTATAGATTCGGATCCGCGCTCATAGGTAGCATTTGGCTTTAATGGGAGGAAAATAGGCTTCAGAGTAAGATGCGCTCTGAATTTCACTCCGAAATTTTTAAAATTCAAACACGGTTCCTGTTTCAAGATTTAAAAAAAATTGAAATAAAACACTCGGGTGAATTGTCCGATTCGATGCAGAGGACATGATAACTTGGCAGCCTCGCTTTTGTCCCTCGCGGGGAAAATTGATTTTTGTATTGTGCTGTATTGTCATGGAGACGATAAATTTTCCTTTCAGATCCGATTTTCCTGATAATGGAGTACGTGGCTTGCGGTAAACTCCAGAGTTTCCTGCGAAACTCGAGAGCTCAGCGCTGCTACGATAATATGCACGGTCCCAGTGATACTCTCACCTCCAGAGACTTGACTTCGTTCTGTTATCAAGTGGCGAGAGGCATGCAGTTCCTATCTTCCAAGGGTGTAAGTAATCGTTTATCAATTCATTCGCATCAACAACTTCCACTCGAGCTTCCCTCCAAGGCATCCGCCGGAAAATCAGAAAAGTAGATGAAGAGAGAATAATGGTACATGAAATAAAACTGCTCCCTGAATTATTCCTCGCTACAGCCTTCACCTCGCCGAGAGCGCAACTTAAAAGTCGGGCGGGACGTGCGGGAGCCTTTTTTGAGACTAGAAAAGCTCCTCAAGTTTCATAACTTTTAGCACGTTAAAAAATAATGAGACAATGGCTGCCATGCTTCCTTGCCTCAACCAGCCTTTTGCCGAAGCTGAGTATCATCGCATCAGCCGCTGGCCGGATTCCTGTTACTCATGTTTACGCAAAATGAGGGCACGTAAATATAGGACTCTCTCAAAGTAAATTATTACTAAGCATTTGATGGAGTCCCTTCATTTTGCAATGTGACAGCCGCAAGTTGGAAGCTTTTGACGAAAGTTTTTGCTGTTGCGAAATCCTGAACTTACCGGAGAAAAAAGTTTTTACGTCGTGCGTATTTTTTCCGAGATAAAAACTTAAGCTTATTGGTCTTTACCATTTTTTTAGCTCATTTCTTAAATTTAGGTTTTAAGATTTTTATATCGCATCTCCACCATTAGAGATTATTACCTGTGTTCAAAAGTGCATTTCAAACCCCAATTTTTCGGCAAGGCAAGCATTGTTGCATTGATTCAAGTTGTTGGTGTTTCTTCGTTACTGAAACACGGAACTTTACGTTCAATTTGAATATCTTTTTCGTTCGATCGACCTCCCCAGATATCCTCATGGACAATGGGTCCTAAGTAACATTTGAATCAGTGAGAACGTTTACACACCAACTCGGTAACTCGAAAATGCTCAACTTCTATTAAAGACAGTTAATTTACATAAAGGTCATCGAAGTTAGCGCATCTGTTCCAACTTGGACCTCAAAGTGTCCATAAGTACTTGTCTTTCGGTAGCAAAAGTCTGTTTCTTAAACTATAACTTCTTCGCCTAAGCGGTGTAGTTGTGTGTGCGTCTTGATTATTTCCATTTTCCGAGTTTGTATGTTTTCGTTCTCACTGATTCTTTTGGGTTCGCATAGAGAAAAAAAAGGAGGTGTTTGCATTTTGGGCATCTTGGAATTTTTTTGATGACGTAGGTCGGCACGGCGACTTTCATCATCGATTTTCTTGGAAATGGTGTGGTTTATGAAGAAAATGCATTCTACATAAAGTGTTTGAAATTATATCATGAGTTGATTTAAGCAAAAAAATCGGACGTTATGGTCCGTTTTTCATACTTCGAATTCCGGATTTCGCCGGCCAGGTTGTACCGACCTTTGTCACAGGGTACACGATCCTCAAGATGCAAACACCTCCTTTTTTTCCCTATGTTGGGTTGGTAATCTAATTTACTGGGGTACTACCATAAATAATTGGAAGTGTCCATACCATCCAACGACCCCGTCCTCTTTTTCTTCATAGATATGAGGTTTCTACGGGACGAACACTGAAAAAAAATTCTCAGCGTTTACACCAAGGTCCGTTGGTACCTTTACCATCTAACTTTTTCTACCAATTATTGGTAATTTTACCAAGACAGACTGGTAAACTTACCTAAAAACCGGTATTTTTACTGGTTTTTTCAGGTAAGAATACCACTTTTATTGGTAATCAATTCCCGGTAACTTTGCCATTTTATCTCGGTAATTCTACCACAGTCAATAACAAATATTGACGTTTTTACCAAGGTCCAGTAAAATTACCGAGAAAGTTCAATAATTTTACCGAGATTTCTCGGTAAAATTACCAATTCCATAAATGGTAATTTTACCAAGAAAAAACTGGGATCAAATAGAACCCTCAATTCTTGGTAATTTTACCCTTTTCTTAGTAAATACACCGAGATTTTTTTTTTCAGTGAAGCTGCTAAAGAACGATTATGATAAGGGCCAATAATTTTTCAGAGATCTCAGCATACTCATAACCGTGACTTTTCCTTTATTTTCCAGATAATCCACCGGGATCTCGCCGCGAGGAACGTGCTCGTGGCGGAGGATCACACCTGCAAAGTGGCCGACTTCGGTTTCGCCCGCGACGTGATAACGAGCCACGTCTACGAGCGGAAATCCGAGGGGCGGCTGCCGATCAGGTGGATGGCCCCGGAGTCCCTCTACGACAACATCTTCTCCGTCAAGTCGGACATCTGGAGTTTCGGCGTCCTCGTCTGGGAGATCGTGACCCTGGGCTCGACGCCGTACCCGGGGCTCGCCGCCGCCGAAGTCATGAAGCGAGTCAGGGACGGCTACCGGCTCGACAAACCGGAGCACTGCCGGAGAGAGCTCTACAACATCATGTACTACTGCTGGGACAAGGACCCCAAGGAGCGTCCCAACTTCAGCGAGCTGGTCGATCTCTTGGAGCAGCTACTCCTCAGCGAGACCGAGTACATCGAGCTCGAGAGGTTCCCCGACCATTCGTATTATAATATGGTGTCCTTGAGCGGCGAGAAGCTCTAACCAATGATTGCAACTCCCACTTTATGACACGGGCCTTTGCCCATCCAAGGCTTCCTTTAATTGATTGGAATAAAACAATCGGGTCAGACCTTTATGAGGAGTTTTGGAAAAACACCTACGTGCAATAGCTCAGGACTCTCGTAACAAATGGGGATGCATCAGAAAAAAAAGAAAATCGACACAGAAGATGAGGAGGAGGAAGAAGATTAATAAAAAAGAGAGGGGAAGGGAGAAGAAAATGAGAAAAGAAAAGAGAAGAAAAAGAAAGAGAAAAAACGGAAAGAGAGAAGCTTGTGAGATAGAAGAAATGGATATGAGAAGAGGAGGCGAGGAAAACAAAGAGGTATGATGGAGAGAAAGACAAGTATGAGGTAAAAGAAGTTCTTCTTGCTCCTCTTTCTCCTCTTCGCCTTCTTCTTTACGACAGAACAATTCGTCGCCTACCTGACATTAGGGAGAAACTACACTCTGCAATGAACCCTGACTTCCATACGTTTCAAAGCTTTTCCAGGTTCATCTTAATGTGTAGTTACGCCCGCAGCCAAGCGACGAATTTATAAAGGAATATTTTTACATGTCCTGCAGCTGACTTCGAGCCGACCATTCATTTTATGACCGAAAAATGATAAACGCTCATATTTACATTAGACTGCCGTGTCTAGTAGTTTGGATCAAAGTGGTGACTTTTCACGTGAAATTCAAAATCGGAAAGTCTACCCGTAGAGAATGTTACAACGTGATGACATGGCCGTGGTACGAGAGCCTTTTCATTTGATGCGCCCGAGTCATTAGCACGTTCAAAAGCGCATGCAAAGGTGCATGAAGTTGTGCGTAGCTCTGCATCCTGCCTCAAACGACTGCGCCGCTCGGGTGGTTTTAATTCCGGAAGTTTCTCCGAGTTTAATAGCTCCAAAGTGGCAAAGTGTCCAACCGAAACTAGTCCAATCGACGATTTTTACGCACCGCTCAACCCGTTGTCTCCGTTCGAAATTGACCTACCGCGATAAGCGTGGATAGCAGTCATGTGAGCTCACTGCGGATGCTGCTAATTCTCGGATGCACTATCTCCGTGAACTTCCACACTTGCCAAACCGCGCCGCGAAGGGCGAGCCACCCGCAGCACGCGACCCGAAATCACCCAAAACCCCGCAACTTCGGTTCGGAAGTACCTTCCGCGGCGGAAGCCAGAAACCCAAGCTCGATGCGCCTGGACAATGAGCTTTCCCGGGCTTTCATCGACTAACAGAGACAACCCGAGCCTTTTCCGTTGACTCGGAACTTTGATGTCGATTTTCGTGGAAAAATTTTCCCGTTAAATAGCGAGGGCGCTAATCTGGCGCCGATTTAATGCCGTTGTAAATCGGGATCATGCGCAACGGTTCGGCAATGCCGTTCCCTATTCCTTACCTACTCCGCTTTTCCAGCGCATTTCCTGCCGCCTTTTGTCGTGATTGTTTGGAAAGGAAGTCTACTTTCATGCGCCTACAAAGGATTGTCCGATTAGGTTCTGAATGCTCGCGGCATTTCACTAACGCTTCTTATGGGTCCTCGATTTTCCAATGTATTCACCAGCTGAAGAGTGGAAGTCAAAACATAGTAAAAGCCATTGGCTGTTGATCAGACAATGTACGGTGATTCTCATGCACTGTAAAATAAAAGCCTGAATTCCTTCGTTTATCCGATATTTGGATTGCATTTTGCAAAAAGGAACCACTAGCATTGCAATGTTGCTAAGATTGTGCAACTTCTTATGTCTTGGAGGAAAAACCCGATTATCCATTAATAGTTTCTATTTTACTCGCTAAAAACTGTAAATTTAAGACAAAAATTACCATCTAAATTTCATAGTTTTTCACGATTTCCGCAATTTGATTTCAAAAGATGAAGTTGCACAATCTTAGCATCATTGCAATGCTAGTGGTTCCTTTTTGCAAAATGCAATTCATTTTATCGAGGACTCCTATAAATTTCTGTTTTTTATTAATCAAATACAAGAATGGGCTACGAGGCAAAGTCTGCTGTGGAAAAATATGTCATAAGTATTCTCAAGTATTACAGCCAAAGTGAAAATGTCGGTGATTATGATGTCAATGATAATGATCACCGTTGACAAAGAGCGTATGGTCCGGTAAAAAATGTATTAAAATAACTGTTTATATCATTAACCAAAGTTTCGATACCTATGTATTTTGTACATATTTCAAGATTGTAAAAAAAATATTGTAAATAATGTCCGTAAATATGAAACAAATTTTGTATGCTAATTATTGTTTTGATCGTTATTTTTATACTTTTTGTTATTAAAATATTTCTCCAATTTTTATTTGTTTGTTCTTTCATTAAATGCAATTTCGCCAAACCACCAAATAGTGAAATTTAAAAAAAAAAATGCGTATCCTTCTCATACAAGGCAATACTTTTTATAGATTCTGTCGGTTCTGATAATTTTCTTTGTGATTGAGCTTCAGGAATGAGGAAAAGTGAAAGTAATGATTAGATTACACCTGCTATATTTTTTGTAGCAAATATAGTAGAAGGAAGATTTATTAAATTTTATTTTTAAATTTCATTTTGGACTAGAGAGTTCTTTCATTGTCAGTTTCGATAAATAAAGTCAAGGAGGATTTAGAAAAAAAAATGTAAAAGAAACTCCAACATAATGTGTCGATACGTCGCTTTATTGATCAAGTTTAGTTATCTATTTGATTGGCTTTATTTTACACGTACCATGAAGTGTAGAAACCGCACATCCAAAGAACTACAATTGTTCCAACAGAACTATGCAGAATTTCTTTAGAACTAATTGTATTCTTAAAAAAGAAACTGCTGCCTTGTAAAATCAAATTTTTTGTTACAGGTCGTCGTTTCTATACCTGAAATTATGGCTTGCGCAGCTCAAGCAGATCAAAAACTTTCAGCGTTACATAGCACGTATTTTCATGAACAGTCAATGAACGTTCTACCCTGAGAAAAATTTCATTTGCAATAAGTATATGATTGATTACATGATCAATGCTTAAATTTTCTACGAGCCGGATTAAGGGGGTGGCCACATGGGCCGCGGCCCATGGCGGCAAAATTACGGGCGGCAAATTTTGCAATTTTTTTAAATGCAGGTACAAAATCATCGGATTCAGAAAAAAATACAAACAAGATAAGGTGACAAAATCTCTCAATTCCTGAGTGTTCATTAATTTCTAATTTTGTCGTATTTTTGTGATACAAAAGACTGCGCCCCTTTAATTAGTTGAGTTAAGAGAGAAACCAAACACGTAACTTGGCCTGGAGCGGCGCGGCACAAAGAGATTTGATGACGAGGACTTAAGATGAAAAGGAGAAGCCCTCGACGCGGCGGTCGGCATGTAACACGTATTAGCGCCTACGAGACTGCGTGAATACTTCACGCATTGCGTCAAACACAGCACGGTCAGCGGCGTGAAACGCACAATGCCTACAAGACTACATGAATACTTCACGCATTGCGCCAAACACAGTGTGGTCAGCGCGGCACGGCGGCGGAAGTTAAAATTATTAAACCACATTTATGTTCATTCTTTCAAAATGTGTTCATTATTCTCTTATAAATGAAAGGCCTCGTCCACACAGAGATAGGTTCACGAAACTTAATTTTTGCGCAAAGTTCCGTGAACTTTTGCTAGTAGTGTTGACAGGGCTTACGCAAGAAATGTGTCCAACACAAGTGAACGCGTCTTATGCACATTTCTCCCTCTGGCACGTTCACTTGATGGTTTGTATTGATGCTTCAAAATAAATGAGAAGAGGGCGGCAAAATACAGGCGGCCCATGGGCGGCAAGTAGGTAAATCCGGCCATGCGCCCCATTCTTCAGGTTTCAAAAAAGAAAAAAAAGAAGTTCTCTAGATTTGCAAACATGTATAAATCTAAATGATTAAGACATGAGCCACTTTTAAAGGAGCGTTTGAGGGTTTAAAACATGACAGAATTCATTGCTAGCCCGTCACACCATTCCCAATGACAACATGCGCAGGATTCGATACATTGTATCCAAATCGCCGTCAAATCAGTCGCAAAGGTAGTCCGCCGCGCTAAGGAAGAAAGCCGTATGAACGTTCGAGAGTAGCCAAATTTCCTTCAGTAAAATGCTTATTTTTTAGGAAAGTTATGAATATTTTTCCTTTAAAGTTTCAGGAACTTTAGGTGAAATTGCAAACAGCATTATCCGAATAATTGGAAGAAATATGTTTTTAAGTTCACCAGAAAATTCGTGTTTTAGAAATGGAAATCCTCCAGTTTCCAGTTGGAGGATCATTTTAAAGATCTTTTGACGGAAAGGCGCCCAGAGTTTCGAGACAGCAGCACGGACAACGGAAGAATGAACAACTTGGAGATTCACACTTGTGACATAATTAAAGCGGTTAAAGAGCTAATTAATGATAAAGCGCCGGGTCCTGGCGGGATTCCTGTTGAGTTGGTCAAGTACGGGACTGCCAAGCTCTTTGAGTGCCTCAGGAAACTGATGCAGCAATGCATCAGGGGTGACGAGGTACCAAGGGAGTGGAAGGAGTCCTGGATCAAGGCCATCTACAAAAAGAAGGGAAGGAAGGACGACTGTAACAACTACCGGGGGCTCTCAGTGACCGGGACAATAAGCAAAGTGTACGGGAAGATACTGAAAGCGAAGATCGAGGACGAATGGCAGGATCACGAAGCAGAGGAGCAGGCTGGTTTTAGAGCTGGCAGGTCTACGATAGATCACCTCTTTGTTATTGTCCAGGTCATTGAGAAGAAAATGGCCGTAGCTCAGGAGCTGCATTTAATTTTCGTGGATCTCCAGAAAGCGTATGACAGTGTGCCGTTGGTGAAACTTTGGGAGGCCTTGGAAAAATCGAATTTTAACGGGGGGTTGATTGATGCTGTCAAGCGATTTTATAAAGGGAGTTTTACCAAAATTAAGTATCATGGGGGGTTGTCAGCGGGATTTTATGTGACTAAGGGTTTAAAACAGGGATGTTGTTTGTCGCCAACATTATTTAAAATTTACCTCGAATGTGTGCTAAAGGAATGGAAAAGGAAGTGTTCTGGTATGGGTGCCCTCTTGGGTGATCTTGAAACTCTGTTCACTCTGTGCTTTGCTGATGACCAGGTGGTGGTTGCTCAAGATCAAGAAGACGCGGAGTACATGATGCGCAAGTTAGTAGAAGAATATCGGAAGTGGGGTTTGGAAGTCAGCATATCCAAATCTGAGAAGATGACTTTTGGTGGTGATCAGCAAAGCATTGAGTTGGAGGATGGGCAGCAGATCAAATGCTGCGAGCACTTCAAGTACTTGGGAATGCGGTTGACCCAGGATGGAAGGACGGATCAAGCTATCAGGGAAAGGAACACCTTAGCAAGGAAGGCTATAGCGATGTTAAATGGAATCCTCTGGGATCAGCGGATTTCCAAAGATAACAAGAGGAGGATATACAACGCTGTAGTAAAAAGTATATTAACATACGGATGTGAAGTTTGGCAGCTGAAGAAGCGGACACAGGATATGCTAAGAGCAACGGAGATGGATTTCTGGAGAAGGTCGGCAGGAATTTCTAGGAGAGATCGGGTCCGTAATGATAGAGTGCGTCAGATAATGGAAGTCGAAAATGACATCGTGTTCGACGTCATGACCAAACAACTTGTTTGGTATGGTCATGTCAATAGGATGACGGAAGAGAGGCTGCCAAAAAAGATGCTTGATTGGGTTCCTCCTGGGAGGAGGCGTAGGGGACGCCCAGTGAGAGGTTGGCGACAGGGGGTGTTAAGTGAGATGAGGGAGTGTCAACTCCCTGATAACCTGTGGGAAGACCGAGCTTTGTGGCGATTAGGTGTCGCAAAGCGCCAATGAGCGCTATAACAGCGACTCGTATGTATGTAGAAATGGAAATTTGGCAACGCCTAAA